CTAGTCATTTACATATCACTACACCTAAAAACACTCTCAGACAACATCCTCAAATGTGTCGAAGACTACAAGTATCTAGGATCACATATCAAGAACTCTGAGAAAGATTTCAACATTAGAAAAGGTATAGCATGGACTGCTTGTAACAAAATGGATAAGATCTGGAAATCCAATCTTGCTCGTCAATTCAATATCCAACTTTTCGCGTACTTATTGAGCCAATCTTACTCTATGGCTCTGAAACTTGGACTCTCTCAGCAAAACAACAGCTCCGTTTAGATGGATGTTATACACGTCTTTTAAGAAGTGTGCTTAATCTCTCATGGCGAAACCGCCCAACTCTAGAAATGATATATGGAGACTTGTTGAAGAGTATCAACCTTAGTTTGCAAAAGACGTGTCCAGTTCGCCGGGCATTGTGCACAATGCCACAGATGAACTTGTGTCATCATTTGTACTCTGGAGGCACCCATCATCTGACAATCGATCACACAAGTTAACCTTTTCCAGATAGGATAAAACGAGACACATTGATCCCTAAGGGAGATCTTTTAGGAGCTATGACAGATAGGGAATACTGGGGAGGTGTAGTTCAATCTGAGGCCGCAGGATGATGATGACAAATAAAAAGAGTAAAATTTATTTTAAGATTTGAAGCTATGAAGTTGTCACAGAGCTATATATCTTGTAAATAGTAAATGAAATCCACCAGGAGTTTATTCTTAATAGTTTTGGCAGAAGTTTGTTTGCATGACACATGTTATTAGACCAATGAACAGAAGCATGTTAATAAGCATCACCAACCTGATCTGAATTTGCCTGAGTTAACCTTGTCGTAAAATGAAACAAAATTGTTGAATTAAAATAAAAAATACAGTTGTGGACAGAATTATTCACCCCCTTCCATAATTACAAATAAAGTTGTAACACCTCAAATTTTCATAGAAACTTCATGTACATTTTTTTCACAAAATAATAATAATAATAATAATAATAGAATGTGCATTGATTCTCACACCAATTTTTTTAATTTTAATGTCAAACAATAATACAAAAAAAAAAACACCAAAGAAACGTTTAACATAAGACAAAATTATTGGCTCTCTTGATTCAATAATCAATTGTGTAAACTTTATTCTTGTCTTTAATCATTTGTCATAGTTCCTTACAAAGATCACTACACAGACTATGTATTTTACTCCATTCTTCCTTGGCAATAGCTTCTAGTTCCTCCATATTTGAAGGATTTCTTTCTCTTACTTTTGTCTTCAAATATGCCCATAAATTTATGAATATAGAATACAGCGCAGTACGTAATCTGTTCACTAAAACAACGTTAAAGATTAATACCCACGAGTCAGACACTCTACTGAATCTGACTATATCGCCAATACCACCAGCAGCTGTTCTGTAATTCTTCAGTCTTCGATATCAAAGACTGGCAGTGAGTATTCGGGGAAAAAACATGGCCGCCTTTATACACGTCGCATTGAATATTTTGAGCCTTCTGATTGGTTAAGCCTTCTATTGGTGAACTATAAAATGAGTCAGCTCATTTTGGTTGGCTCACTAGTACCAAGGTACCCCAAAATTCTAACATATAATTCCAAAATAAAATTCGTACGCTGTACTTATTTTTTCCTTGTAGATAATAAACAAAAGTAAGACCGATAAATTCTTTTTTTGTATCGCTTACTGCCTATATTTGCTATAAGGACAAGTAATCGGAGATTTAAATCAGCAAAATCTTTTGGTCAAAATCCTATATTTTACAACCAATAGGGGAAGCATGAATATTTTGAGCCTTCTCATTGGTTAAACCTTCTATTGGTGAACTATAAAATGAGTCAGCTCATTTTGGCTGGCTCATTAGTACCAAGGTACCCAAAAATTCTAATAGTGTTTTGGGTCATTGCTATGTAGGATTGTCCAATGACGTCCCAAAGATAGCTTTTGCACACTTTATTAAATAAATTTTAAGAATGGTCAAATACTGAACTTTATCCATGACACCCTGTATGCTCACTATTTCTCTTGCTTCAGAAGCATATTAACATCCCCAGAACAGAATGCTCCCACAAGAATACTTAACCGTAGAGTGGTTTTTGGTTGGTGAGTTTCATACACTTTCCTCCATACATAACTGGAGTTTATATAACCAAATAATTCTAGTTTTATTTCATCTGACCATAGTTCCTATATTTACTCCCATATTCTAGATGTCTTCTAGCAGAAGCTAATCTCCATTTTATGTTTAGCCTTCAGCACAGAAGTTTTCCTTGAGCGACAAGCGCGAAGTCCTGCTCAAAATCCTGCTTCATAAAAGCATCTTGAAACTGTTTGAATCGAAACATTCAACTCTGGTGTCTTTACATCATTGATAATGTCCTTTGTCGTTAAGTATGAATTCTTCGAGATATCTCTAACAATTTTCCTTTCCATTTAACCATTTTCGAGCATTACTTAATTTAGTCTCAACAGAAGGAATCTCATTGTACTTCTTGATAATGCTACGAATTGTCGATCTAGGAACATTTAAATGCTTGAAAAGTGTTGTATATCCATCACGTTGTTTGTATGCATCAACTATCTTCATTTGGAACTTCATGTCAAGTTAAGCCATCTTCTCTATGGTTACAGAATGAATGAGTTATCGCAGTATGTGGCATTCACATATTGTCTTCTTCATTACCTTCATTACCTTTTAGAATGTTATAGAATCAAGTCAATACTATTTCCTTTTCAAAAGGTGTTTTGTATTAAATATCAAATTAAGAATAAAAATATTACAATTGCCATAGAGCAATAGTATTTTATAATTTCCATAAGAGATAGAGGCGAATAATTTTGGACTGCACTAATCTTTAGAAAAATCTATTACTATGAACATAATATATCGAAACTACTAAAAATTCAACGAATTATTCAAAACTAAATACGGAATCAACTATTTATGGTAGATTCAGTAAGTACTTTCAAATATTTGAATGTCCTTAGAAAATATGCAAATATTAAATGGGAGTGAATAATATGTATATATATATATATATATATATATATATATATATATATATATGCTGCCTAATGTTTTATGTTTATAAAAAACTATCGATCCGCAGTACAAAAAATTCTTATAAAGAAAAACTACTACTAAGACATAACACTATATTAATTGAACTATATACTTAGTTCATGACATATTAACTGAAAACACTTGTAAAAATAGAATACGTGGATTTACCACATCACAAGAAAAGTTCAAATAAAATTCTCACTTCAAATTTTGAAAAACTTAGCGTTGCGTCTTTTCACGTTCCGATATTGTACACAACCGTCAATAATAGCACATTCTAAAAAAAAAAAAAAACATCTTTCGGTCGACAAACAATTATTTCGTCTTCAAGTTTTTGATTTTATAAGGAAAAAATATGCCTGACGATGGATAAAGGATTATTCGAAAGTACTTGCATTAAAAAAAAATATAAAATGGAAACAACAGACAACAGTTTTATAGATGAGGATCACATCACTCTATGGATTAACAGTATTTTAATGCATACATTATACACTACTAGCGATGGATGTCGCCAATAATAGCATTAATATTGCTGATTGATTCTATGCGTGAATATTTATTTGTATATATATATATATATATATATATATATATATATATATATATATATATATATGTTGATAAGAAGTGGGAGACTTTAATTATCCATTTCGTTTATAATTTTTATTTCGCGAACACCGAGAACGAAAAATCTGCAAAAAGAGAAAGTTCACCGGACGGACACCTTAGTTTGGTAGTAGGGAGAGAAGGTGAGAGAGAGAGAGAGAGAGAGAGAGAGAGAGAGAGAGAGGGAGTTGAGAAAAGAGATTAGTGGTTAGTAGTAGTCGGTTTCCTCAACCAAGAATTTACTCTATACTTTTTAGATTTTAATATTAGTTTGTATGTTACTTTGGCTGATATCGTTTCCTGTTTTTATGCAGGATAAACCAGGTCGATTCAAATTAATTTATTTAAAGAGATATTAATCTAAGTAAAATTCGGTATTAATATAGTAATACTTACGCATTTGCTTTTAGTCCAAAGATTGACGGCCAGTGGAGATATTGAGTTGAGTGGAACGCAAGAGGGGGATATAGGAGTGGGAAGCTTGGAGAAGTAGAAGTTGAGAAGGAAAAAATAGGGTAGTGGTAGCTCTAGCAGCCTGACCTGCCTAGATATTTCTTAATTTTTGGAACTATGTGAACGGGTTTATACAGTGCGTTGATTGTTAGTAATAGTCATTGGTGCAGTTAATAATAGGAATCACTATGATATTGTCAGATACAATAAGCGGATACAGCAAATAAGTTTACAGAATTAAGAGTTGGACGGACGTGTAGTAGAGTCAAGAGATTTATAGAAGACATTAATGAAAAGAGACAGGGAAAGAGAGAGATTTAATGAAAAGAGGGATATATATATATATATATATATATATATATAACTGTAGCAAATGAGTCGACTTCAACAGTGTAAGGGACGCAACTCTTTCCGTCTGAAAATGTCTGACACGCTGCAACGCAAAGCCGTGTACACCAAACACAGGTGTAATGCCGTTCTGCCAATTTCTCCAAGCAACCTGTTTTTTATGGAGCACAGACACAGCTCATTAGCATGTGTGTAACGCGACTTTTGCGTGCCTGCACGAGACCGTGAATATTAAAAGTCACGGACGCCATCTTGGATCTTTTCTTTCCTTTCTCAACCCACAGGCCAGGCAGACGCGAGGGCGTTTGTGAGGTAAACCATTTCTATTTTCCCCATTACCAAAAAAAGAGAGAAAGACAAAGTAATAATAATCCAAAAACAGATAAAAAGCATTTTGAGAGAGTGTTATTATGGAATATGCGTACACCTGTGTTCCCCCTCTCTGGAATATGATTGTCTGGTGTCCGTCATAAATACCGACGGACGTGTAGGAGAGTCAAGAGATTTATAGAAGGCATTAATGAAAAGAGAGAGAGGTAGATAGAGAGAGAGAGAGAGAGAGAGAGAGAGATTTAATGAAAAAACAAATACCAGACACAAGGGAAATGCTATGGATTATAGAAATGCTATAAGATTATTAGCTTGGAAACATGGGTAAGGTGTGCCTCAGCAAGACAGTCGTTGGTCCCACCGTGTGTAGAGAAGTTCGCAAAAAGTAACCAGGTCGAATAATATTTACACCTACACACCTCCACATATATGTATACATGTCTAAGTCTACATATCCACACATGAGTGTACACCCATACGTGTTACTTTTCGTGTCATCCTTCCAAAATCCATGCAGTAAGCGTTTTTAGGGGATTTTAAGTTTGTTTTTATGTCTACATTTGAAGATAAGCTCGTTTCGTTAGTTTAATAATTGGTTAGCATTTGTGTAATTGATTATTGCGATTTTTTCCTGTATACACAGATCGCATCTATCCCGGAAGTTGTTGGGAATACTGGACCAATAAATGATTTCTAATTTGATTATTGGGGTGAGATTATTATCTTTAATTTTCCAATAATGTTTCGATAGAACGGTTTGGTTTCTCAGGTTAATATTTGAGAAGGAATGTCTGTGGTTGTATAGCCTTTGTTTCCAATTTCTGGCGGATATACCTATGTATGTCTTTATGTCCTTGATGTTATCTCTCGGGAAAATGGCAGCTTGGTATACCAAATTTTCCGAATTGCAGGGATGGCCGCGCCAGGTTAAAACGCATATTGAGCAAACCAAGAAACAATTCGCTGAGACCCAGGGCCTGTCACATGACCGCAACCGTTGGAGGAGGAGGATAAGAGAGAGAGAGAGAGAGAGAGAGAGAGAGAGAGAGAGAGTGAGAGAGAGAAAGAGAGAAAGCGAGAGGGGGAGAGAGAGACAGAGATTTACGAATGGTGACAGAAAGATTTATAGAGATTGATAGAAAAACATTAAAGAAAAAGAGATAGACGGAAAAAAAACATTTATAAAGAGTGAAAGAGAGAGAGAGAGAGATTTATAGAAGACATTAATGAAAAGAGACAGGGAAAGAGAGAGAGAGAGATTCATAGAAGACATTAATGAAAAGAGGGCGATACATATAGATATATATATATATAACATTACCAAAAAAAAGAGAGAAAGACAAAGTAATACTAAGCGAAAAACGGATAAAAAGCATTTTGAGAGAGTGATATAATGGAATATGCGTACACCTGTGTTCCCCTTCACTGGAATATGATTGGCTGGTGTCCGTCATAAATACCGACGGACGTGTGGCAGAATCAAAGAGCCTTAGTATAAGAGCTAAGTCTATAACGACACCCAGTGAACTACGCCATTGATCTACACTTCTTACCTGCGACTACGACGCGTACCAGTCGATTACTGCTACTGTATTCTACTTGGTTATAGTAGCCAAAACCACTTAGCTACTTCGTTCAAATATATCCCTTTCCCGGAGATATCCGAGAGAGAGAAAGAGAGAGGGAAAGAGAGAGAGGAGAACGAGAGAGAGGGGAAAGAAAGAGATGGAAAGAGAGAAAGAGAGAGAGAGTGGGAAAGAGAGAGAGAAAGAGGGAAAGAGAGAGAGAAAGAGAGAGGAAGAGAAAGAGAGAGAGGGAAAGAGAGAGAGGGAAGAGAAAGAGAGAGAGGGAAAGAGAGAGAGGGAAGAGAAAGAGAGAGAGGGAAAGAGAGAGAAAGAGCAAGAGAGAGCGGGAAAGAGGGAGAGAGAAAGAGCAAGAGAAAGAGCAAGAGAAAGAGAGAGAGAAAGAGAGAGAGAGAGAGAGAGAGGGAGAGAGAGAGAGAGGGAAAGAGAGAGAGAGAGAAAATTTGGAGTGGAAAGTAGGAGTAAAGGTCACAGGGTAAATGATACTGTTTTGAGTTTTGAATTTTGAATAACTCAATAAAACAGTGTCTACGTGTACAGTTCATTCATAATCTCTTTTAGTCAACCTCTCTCTCTCCCTCTCTCTCTCCTCTGTCAAGGTTGACTATGAGCGTCACAACATTTAAAAAACCGTTACTAAAGCCTGGGTAGTTAAGAGTATTATTATAGAATATTCTTGCTTCTTCACCATAAATTCTAAAATAGCAGTGACGAAAAATTTTATCCGCATAACTTACGATTAAACCATAACGCAGGGACAAGCGGTTTCATGCTTTTCTCAAAGATATTAGTACAAAGAGAATGCAAACAAACGCGGACAACGTTAGAACACCGTTTCTTGGTTCTGTTTACGGCGATGATAACCCCTAGGAACAACGGTCGAAAGTAATCATTAAATCATCGGCCATGTTTGTTCTCTATCGAGCCAAGGGTTAGAGAGTCCAAATGAAACTGACCCTAGGTCATTAGGCCACGAAATTGACACTGGGTGATCTATTTCCTGACATTGACTTCGGTCGATGAGTTACTATGGCATCTGATGCCAACTGCCAGTTATTTTCGATCAGAATTAGGCTGGACGTAAGAAAAGCCAATAACTTGAGTTTGCATAGATTATGCAAAAGCATTTGATAAAGTACGTCACCTAGGATTGTTAGAACTGTTTGTTGACCTTGACTTATTTGGGAAGGGCATTAGAATAATCCAGAAGTTATACTGTCAGAAAACTGCCTGCATACGGATAAAAAATGAATAGAAAGAGGTGTAAGGCTACCAAACTTATTCAACCTTTTTCTATTGGGGCGATTCTGAGAGAATTAGAAATATTAAAAGGATTCATTATTGGTGTACACAATCTTAACAACATAAGATATGCGATGACTGTTGTGGAGTAGTTGAACACCCCCACAAGATCAACTGATCTAAGACTATTTAAATAGCATTCTTTCTTACTGAGGGACAGGCCGCTGTTTAAAGGAGGACGATACGGAGGCTTTCTTTTCCCCTCTTGCCGAACTCTCTGTGCCCGGGCGGAGAGGAACCCAGACGAGGCTTTGCCGAAAGGCAGAGTCTTGTCTGCCGAGGTAGACAGCTACCCGACCCCGTGTTCGTCTCTCATTATGTTCTGTGTGTCCAAGTAAATCTTTCGACGACTTCATTTCCTCGTGAACATACCTACCCCGACTATGGCAGCTTCGGCCAACAGTGACAAAAAAAGAAAAAAACAAAAAAAAAACAAAACAAAAAAAAAAAAACAAAAAAACAACGAAACACATCGTGGGGTGGATTGCTTGTTTTAGCAAATCTGCCAAGACGGCAGGGTAATGCTACGTCATCACAGACAAAACAAAAAAGATATTTTCTTAATTATAGAAAGTTGTCCCCCAAATTCTTGATATGTTAATAATTTATTCATCAGAAAATTCTATTAAACATTTTATGGTCTCTGTTTAGAGGAGACTTTGTTTATGAAGTGTTTGTTTCATAATTATTTTATTAAATATAAAATTCGCCCAGTGTATTTTACGTCCATGTGCACATAGAAAAGTAGACTGAAAACTTTTGGGAATTGTTTTTAATTATTTACGCTTTTCGATTTGATTTCCAGTCGAATGGCATCCAGACAATATTCATTTGAGGAGGAAGCAGACACAGAATTCACTTTTCTCGTTCGTTTCACCCAAAATAACATCGAGAAAAGAAAATCAGACGAGCTTATAGTGCTTTTCTAAGCGTAGCTTAGATGTGGCACAAGGCCGAAAGTATGGGGTGCTCCCAGTGAAGATCGAACTCACTACTCAGTCGTAATTGTTCTAGCGAGACAAGCTTGCTAAACATTACATCGCCTCCAGGTGTCCACAGATGAGCTTATATATACAGACTACGAGAGATAAGTTCGTTCTCTCTCTCTCTCTCTCTCTATATATATATATATATATATATATATATATATATATTGTTTTTAAACAAACACTGCTTAGTGTTTTTTCTTCTTCTTTTTTTAACAAAGGCGCCTTTGGGCCTAAGACTTCATCAGGGACATGCAAGGATTCCATTTTGTAATACTTGCATTTGCCTCCCGCAGAGGACGAAACATGTCGGCTAAGATAAGATTTCCTATCATCTTATATATATATATATATATATATATATATATATATATATATATTAAAGAAAAACAGACCACTTTAAGGTACCATTATAACAATTTATTTCACCTGAGTACTTTTAAAGGACGCCGGATTATCAGATAGCACTTCCAAAAATGAAACGAAAAATGAAATGGCTCTGGTGAAATAAATTATTATAATGGTACCTTAAAGTGGTTTGTTTTTCTTTAAAATATTAGCTCTGGATTTACATTGAGCTCTCAGGATTTCATCCTCCTTGGGATTACCCATACGGATTACGAAGTTTTTCATAACTTATATATATATATATATATATATATATATATATATATATATATACAAGTATATGATTGGTGTATACAGAATGAATTCCAATAACCAACAATTACTATTCTTAAAAGAGTGCTCAATACAAATTAGAGCAGATATAATTATTTATTTAAAAAAACTTATAACATAAATATGTTAAAAAATCACTACAAAAATAGCCATTTTGTTTCAACACCACCAGTGTCTTATAAAGTGATGATTTTGAATGTAAATTTTACATTCAATATTTAAAATTTATTTCACTTGATAAGACACATATTTATGTTATAAATTCTTTTAAATAAATAATTATATATATATAATGTTTTAAACAAACACTTTTTAGTATTGATTTTTTTTCGGGGTGACCAAGGCGCCTTTGGGCCAAGACTTCATCAGGGACAAACGCTGGCAGAATGATTGCATCAAAATTGATACGAATAAATAAGTAATATGGCGGAAGATTTGGAGTGCGTCTAAAACATGTAAATTAACGATTAAAATATATATAAATTCGGAAAGTTGTAAATATTCCAAAGTAAGTTTAAAATATGAAAGAAATTCCTCCAAATAAATGAAGTGACCCAAGAAAATTCTCCTGCTTACATAAAGAAGATTGCTGTAATTTAATATATACAGCTTCTAATATTTGCAAATGGTGTTTGGAACGAGCCAAATAGAGAATGAGTTGAGAGAAAATTTGGAAGAGCAAAGCTCCTTCTTCCAAAGGTGTTGTCCAAACGCTGATTCGTGCGCACATTATGAAACACAAGTGCGATTATGATGATTTAATCTAATAAATCCAAGATTCATAGTGCTTAAGTCCAACTCGGGGACACGCCCAAATGCTTAAGGCCGGGAAAATGACAAGCAAATCTGTGTTTTACTGAAGGAGGTATTTACTGTAGGCTATCTTAATTCATGGGGACAAAATATATGTAGATGTTCCCCACCTGGTGTTATTGTTGTTGTTGTTGTTGTTCGTCTTCTTCTTCTTGCCCTTTTTTCTTTTTCTTATTTTTTCTTCTTTTCCTTTTTCTTCTTGTTCTTTTTCTTTTTTCTTTTTCTTTTTTCTTCTTTTACTTTTACTTCTTTTTCTTATTTCTTTTCCTTTTTCTTAATTTCTTTTTTCTTCTTTTACTTTTTCTTTTTTCATTTTCCTCTTCTTTTTCTTTTTATTTTCCTTCTTTTTATTTTCCTTTTTCTTTTTTTACTTCTTTTTTCTTTTTCTTTTTCTTCTTCTTTTTGTTTTTCTTCTTTTTATTTTCCTTTTTTTTCTTTTTCTTATTCCTTCTTCTTTTCCTTTTTCTTCTTTTGCTTTTTCTTTTTTCCTCTTCTTTTTCTTCTTTTTCTTTTTCTTCTTTTTATTTTCCTTTTTTTTTTTTTTATTTTTCTTCTTTTTTTTTCTTTTTTCTTTTCTTTTTTTTTTTTCTTCTTTTTCTTTTCTTTTTTCTTTTTCTTCTTCTTTTTCTTCTTTTTCTTCTTCTTTTTCTTCTTTTTCTTCTTCTTTTATTTTCCTTTTTCTTCTTTTTATTTTTCTTCTTCTTCTTTTCCTTCTTTTGCTTTTTCTTTTTTCTTTTTCTTTTTCTTCTTTTGCTTTTTCTTTTTTCTTTTTCTTCTTCTTTTTCTTTTTCTTCTTTTTATTTTCTTCTTCTTCTTTTCCTTCTTTTGCTTTTTTCTTTTTCTTCTTCTTTTCTTTTTTTCCTATACTTTTTCTTCTTTTATTTTCCTTTTTCTTCTTTTTATTTTTCTTCTTCTTTTCCTTTTTTGCTTTTCCTTTTTTCTTCTTCTTTTTTCTTTCTCTTCTTTTTATTCTTTCTTCTTTTTCTTTTTCATCTTCTTTTTCTCATTTCTTTTTCTTCTTTTTATTTTCCTTTTTCTTCTTTTTCTTTTTCTTCTTCTTTTGTTTTTTCTTTTTTCTTTTTCTTCTTTTTTTCTTCTTTTTCTTTTTCTTCTTTTTCATATTCTTTTTCTTCTTCTTTTTTCTTCCTTTTCCTCCTTTCTTCTTTTTATTTTCCTTCTTCTTCCTTTTCTTCTTCCTTTTTCTTCTTTTACTTCTTCTTTTTCTTTTCCTTTTTCCTTTTCATCACATTTTTCTTCTTTCTTGCATGAATATTATCACCACTCTCTCCCTCCCATATATATATATATATATATATATATATATATAATTCACAAACAATAAAATCCAAAAGTACCTCATATGGATTGTAATTTTTATTAATTCTATTTCACGGTATTAATAAATACATTGATATCTTTTGGTAGATCAGTTTTAATCTTTTATATTACTAGGATCCACTTGGATTATATACCAACAGATTTATTACCTTTACTCTCTTCCTCACTCTCTCTCTCTCACTCTCTCTCTCTCCTCTCTCTCTCTCTCTCTCTCTCTCTCTATATATATATATATATATGTATAGATGTAACAGCAAAAATGTCCAAGTAGTGTAACAGCATAATTGTTCATCCCACAAAATGTTTAATATCTAAAAACCCCACTAAATTGAGTTTGTTTTTTCCATATTTTCAGATGCGATGTTCATCCACCTTGACACCATTTGTCGTAAGAATCATTGAAAAACCCTTTGAGTTCTTCAGCTAGAACGAGAACAGGTTTAAATCAGCCCCACTGTCTTCTCAACTGAGCAATGGTGAGAGGAAAAAATATCATTCAGGCCTTCAGTAATGGTAGCAACATTCATACTCTGGCTTTCATCTTCAAAGTCCATTCAAGAACCACCAAGAGAATGGTAAATAAATTTTAAAAAAGGGAACAGTAGAAAGGAAAACTGGATGAGGAGGTCACAACATTAAGAGGGATCATCATTTTAACTGAGCTAAAGTGATCGATTAGAAAAGATCCAATTCAATCAATAAGACGTCTGACACGTGAGGGAGGGGTTTCAGCTATGACACTCCAAAGAGCAGTGACAAAGACTTGGAAATTAAATCGTACGTGAAACGTGTGAAGCAACTTGTTACTCCAGGACAGAAAGTTAGAAGGTTAGAGAGGGCAAAGATCATCTTGAATAAGTTGAAAAATGATCCTGGAATGATATATATATATATATATATATATATGTACAATTTAACTTAATTTCAATCTTTCATGAGCCTCCAATCCTTAGCTATGATTAATTAAAGAGCAACATGTCATTT